CTAGATTATAGAAAGTCTAGGAAGTGAGGGGTCTGGCCATTAGGAGGCTGCTACAGGAATCGAGGCAAGAGATAAGAGTGACTTGAATAAAGATGGCAGTGGAAGAGGTAGGGAAAACCAGCTAGATTCGACTTACTTTTTAAAGGTGTAGATGACCATATCTACTGAAGGGCTGGAGGAAGGGTTTGGGAGAAAGAGTTGCGCCACAGACAATGTCAAGGGGTTTGTCTTAAGAAAGCAGAAGGATGGAATTGCCACTTATTAAGATAAGAAGACTAGAGCAATCAGATGTGGGGAAACCAACAGCTCCATTTTAACACGTCAATATCTGATATCTGTGTGAACCTTAACATAAACCTTAACATACTTCCATATGAATTTTTTGAATCTTACCATACAGAAATACTGTAATGCCAAGGGTGGAAGACTAACTTAAAATATCATTTAGTTGTTTACATTTAAGGTTGGAGAATGGACTACAATAACTGACTTTAGTTTTTCACAGCCTAGGAGTGGGAAGAAAAAGTTTAGAGTAGTACACTTCTTCTGTGCTGTCGACTAAGTAGCATGCCCCAAGAAGACTTGAGGAACAACAAGAAGTCCCTATTTTTTTTTCAGGCAGTGCCACCATGCCAAGGGAAGTCCAGAAGCCTCAAGTCATAGAAAATGCACAAAATTGGGGTCACCTGAATCCTTGTAATTTAATCCCAATTTCATTACAAAATAAAGTCACTATGGTTTTTCACTTTATTTGCTGGGACTTCAATAAACACTGATAATTATTTGTATAATTGCTCATTCACTAATTTCCATTTTTAATTCTTTTTATAAGTCTTCCTTTGAAAATACTAAAAGCATCCTTGGATCTAGGATAATTCTTCCTTCATTTCACAGATAGGAAAATGAAGAACAGAAAGGGTAAAACAACATTAGCAGGGTTGTTTTTTGGGTTTTTTTTTTTTTGCATTGTACATTTCCAAATGTAATAGAAACGCTATCTCTTTGTTGCTTTATTATAATACTGTCCAAATACTGCCTGGTAAGGAATTTTAGGTTAAAACCAAAAGCATTCTAACATATATCTAATGTATATATGACTGCTAATATTGATAGAAGAAAGAAACTAAACTATGTAAAGTTACGTAAATTGAACTTTTGAATCCTGATAAGCCCTGGAAGAGTATAGAACTTTCCTACATAAAAATTGAGACTGACCACTAAAACTACCAGATAATAAGCTTCGGAATTATATGAAATACAAAATACACATATTCATTTGGCTAGAAAATACTTAGTACCTGAAATACATCTTTTTTTTTTTTTTAAGCTATTGTATACTCAAATTCAATGGAAATCGATGGACCACAAAAATAGGTTATTAGTGATTTATCTATTGAATACTTGTGTAATATAAATTTGACAACTGGTGATGGTTAAAGATAAGGTAGGGAAGGGCAGAAAAAAATAGGCACAATTACATATAATCCAAGGTAAATTTGAAAATCATAATCCAAAAAGCTATTTGAAATACTGATTTTATAACTTAAAATTCATTATCTGTGTCTTAAATATTTTGGGGGAAGAGTGAGGGAACAGAAAGATGGGAAATGGCAAAGCTGACACTGGGGGTAAACTGCCCATCTAAGATCTATTATAATGAAGGCCCTTTAGTCTCTGTCTCCTAAGAATAGGAAAATCTACAGAAAAAATATATATAGCCAGAACATGTTCACAAAGAACACATAGAAGCAACTGTGGGTTCTGGTGGAGAATCAGTGTTTAAAACTGTCCTGGAAATTGATTTAATGATACGTTGGTTAGAACATTGAAAAGAAAGCAAAACCACACCAGGCTGAGCGTCCCAAACCCAAAGATCTGAAATGGTCCAAAATGCAAAACCTTTTCAGTGCCGACATGATGCTCAAAGGAAATGCTGACTCAAGCATTGTGAACTCTAGATTTGAGATGCTCAACCGGTATAAATACTCCAAAACCTGAAAGAAAAAAAAATCCCAAATCCAGAACTTAAGCCATACTGAGTTGTCCTTTTTCCTCCAACATAGGTAATTTGTATAGCACTTATACTCAAAACATTCTTATGAACATTATTTCATTGAACAGAATAACCTATACCAATTCCCAGTCTTGGGAAATTCTGAATATAACTGACACAATAGCTGATGGTCACACTAGTGAGTGAAATTTTTATAACTAGCAATGGAGATGGGGTAACTCTAAATTTGTATCCAGTCTCACTAAAAGTGAGGTTTAACACAAATGTTGAAAACTGCTAGTGTGAAATGACATAGCTCTTTGCATCTTTCAAAGCTTTTTTGTGATCTGATCCACAGAAAAGCTCTAGGCAGGAAGCTATTTATTAAAGGTGAGGATTCCTACCAAAATAATATTTGCAATTATATGATTTGTTTTAAAATTAATCATGTGATTTGTTACACCTACATATGGGGATAGACAACTAACTACATTTTGGAAAAGTCTTAAGGCAAGAAATACATTTAGCATGTAAAAGAGATATAATAGAACTCTGTTGCATAGAAACTTTATACTGTGATTAGTTTTTAAAACAAGCAAATCAAGAGCTCTCTAAATTGCTGGCCCAAAATTTATTTTGTTACAGATTTTTCTAAGCCTGTAAACAGGAAATGAACTGGTAAAATTTTTAGAAGTGTACACATATATTATGTATATACATGCACATACACATACACAGGTTGAATATTGCTCATCTGAAGTGCCTGGAAATGTCTTTTGGATTTTTAAAATTTTTGAATATTTATATTTACTGGTTGAGCATCCCAGATAAAAAAATCCAAAATCCCTAATGCCCCAATAAACATTTCCTTTGAGGGTCATGTCAGCACTTAAAGTTTTGGATTTTGGAGCATTTCCAACTATGGATACTGAATCTCTCTTTGTGTACATGTGTGCGTGCATGTGTGCATCAAAGTAATTTGGAGGCACAGAGCTCCCTTCTGTTCCTTAATTTTCAGAAAATGATACCAGTGAATCTGAGGAAGTAACCAGACATGTGAAGACAGGGACTGTAAGAGTAATAGAGTTGTACAAGAACAACAGGAAATGCTGGCTCTTCCAGTCAAGATGACTTAGAAACTTTATTTGTATAGTGAAATAAGGGAAATCTAGAGTCAGTCTCTTTTTGACAGATAAGCTGATTAAAGAAAGTTGGACAGGCCAGGCACGGTGGCTCACACCTGTAATCCCAGCACTTTCGGAGTCCAAGGCGGGTGGATCATGAGGTCAGGAGTTCGAGACCAGCCTGGACAACATGGCAAAACCCCATCTCTACTAAAAATACAAAAAATAAGCCAGGCATGGTGGCAGGCGCCTGTAGTCCCAGCTACTCGGGAGGCTGAGGCAGGAGAAATGCTTGAACCTGGGAGGCGGAGGTTACAGTGAGCCGAGATTACGCCACTGCACTCCAGCCTAGGCAACGGAGCAAGACTCTTGTCTTTAAAAAAAAAAAAAAAAAAGGTTGGACAAGAAACGAGTCTATTTTTGAGTAAATGTAAGACTGTTCTCTCTAGAGTATACCTGTTATTCATGCTTTTTATTTGCTGTATTTTATGATGCTTTGACATCTTTAGATGCTTGCTGGTCAAAGAGGAACCACCCCATTCAGGGTCTCTCTCTTAGCCACAGCAAAGCTTTCTTGAGTTAGCAAAGGTCTTTTTTAGAGATAGCAAAGGGCTCAGCCACGAGCAGGTCTTTCATATACATACCTATCAATCCCAAGTCTATAGCCCCAACCACACTCCTTATCTAATTCTTGCACACCAAGCCACTATTTCTCCATCCTAAATCATCCTAGGACAAGGTCCCAGAAAATTAGACACCATCCCGATGGCCCACCAGTATTATTCAAACAAGCCAATCTTAAACCATTTACTCTACCCTGCCTGGCCTTTCCTAAGGAAACCTCAATAAAGGATCTAGCTAGTCTTGCCCCTTGCTCCTTATGCTATCTGACCAAAATTTGGTGCTTTCCCCATGACCTTATATAGCATGTGGTAACCCAAGTTCTTTTTTTCTTTGAGACAGAGTCTCACTGTATCACTAAGGATGGAGTGCAGTGGCGTGATCTTGGCTCACTGCAACCTCCACCTCCTGCGTTCAAGCGATTCTCCTGCCTCAGCTTCCTGAGTAGCTGGGATTACAGGCGTGTGCCACTTACGCCCGGCTAATTTTTGTATTTTTTCGTAGAGACAAGTGTTTTGCTATGTTGGCCAGGCTGGTCTTGAACTCCTGACCTTGGGTGATCCGCCCGCCTCGGCATCCCCAAGTGCTGGGATTACAGGCGTGAGCCACTGCACTGGCAGTAACCCACTCTCAGGCCTTTAAGTATAATAAACTTACTTCTTTCAAGTTTATTCTTCCTGTGGCCATTGACTTCTACCATACCATTATTCAACATATACATTATTATTATTTTTTGGGATGGAGTGTCGCTCTGTTGCCCAGGCTGGAGTGCAGCAGTGCGATCTCAGCTCACTGCAAGTTCCGCCTCCCGGGTTCACGCCATTCTCCTGCCTCAGCCTCCCGAGTAGCTGGGAGTATAGGTGCCCACCACCACACCCGGCTACTTTTTTGTATTTTTAGTAGAGACAGGATTTCACCGTGTTAGCCAGGATAGTCTCAATCTCCTGACCTTGTGAGCCACCCGCCTCGGCCTCCCAAAGTGCTGGGATTACAGACGTGAGCAACTGTGCCCGGCCAACATGTACATTCTTCAAACAGTATATAAAACAAATATAACTAAGAAATAATAAAGTGTCTGTTCACTGTAAAAACAAAAAAATCTCAAGTTCAATCAGCTTTCTGGCTGACTGACACATCATTTCTCATGTTCTGTTTTTTTGTTGTTGTTTGTTTTACATTTAAAACTGTCAAGCCACCATTGTGGAATAAATTCTGAAACATAAGTGAGTATGTGAATTTAAATGAAAATACAATTCAGAGTTGTATACAGGATATATATTTATTACCAGTGAAAAAGCATTTACCCAAAGTCAGTGTTACAAAATACAAAGAGTACCTCAACAGTCCGGCCAGCTCATTATTTTAGGCATTATCTCAACCTGCATAAAATTCTCTCTCACTCAGTTTGACCTTTTCTCCCTCTATCTGTAACCAAAATTTTTAACTTCAAAATTAGGACAAATAGGAATATTAAATGCCTAACCCTTCAGCAATAGTTTACTAAACAGATTAAATAAATATATCTGCTCTCAAACCCTAGGTATTTTAAAACTAAATTATCTACTAAAATAGAAAAACAACAGACTTAGATTAATAGCAGCTGTAACACAAGTCAAATAAGCAATTCTGATAAGGTTTGTAAGTACTATGGTAATAACTAAGATATAAATACAATTTTTTCACTTTAATATGCATGCAGAGAGAGAGAGAGAGACAATATGTAAGGCTTGGCTTGAGTACCAAAACAAAGTATTTACCCTTTCCTGCTTAAAGTCTAGAAAATAAAGAATTTGAGTATGCATGTAACATAACTTATTGTTCCAATTTCCCTGAAGTTAGAGCACCTGGATAAGAACTTCTAATTCTGAATTGGTAATTTTCTGAATAGGTTTTATTAAAATTGAAGATACACTGTCTTCCATAATTTAAGTAGCAATACAGTAAATGTCCTCATACAGAAATCCTCATTTAATACTCCTTGAACGGACATTACACTGAGGTATACAGCAACTTTTTTTTTTTTTTTTTAAGATGGAGTCTCGCTCTGTCACCAGGCTGGAGTACAGTGGCATGATCTCGGCTCACTGCAACCTGCAACCTTCATCTCCCAGGTTCAACCTATTCTTCTGCCTCAGGCTCCCAAGTAGCTGGGACTACAGGTGTGCGCCACCTCTCCCAGCTAATTTTTGTATTTTCAGTAGAGATGGGGTTTCACCATGTTGGCCAAGATGGTCTCGATCTCCTGCCCTCATGATCTGCCCGCCTCAGCCTCCCAAAGTGCTGGGATTACAGGAGTGAGCCATGGTGCCTGGGCAGCAAGTAACAATTTTAAAGGAATACTCAACAAGTTCTTTTTTTATGGGGTATTTCAGTTGTTAACAAAGTTAAAATACTTATTGGAACTAATTCTTCGTATTCAAGGAAGAATCTATAAGGTTGACTAATTCATTGTTATCTGGTTTTTTGAAGCTTTACTGGGTATATGGACAATCTGGGATAAAAAGTAAATCACCTTTCAAAGCTGATTTACTTCAAGTCACATAAACTTTCAATACTTCACCTGCAAATCTGCTTCAACCTCACTACACACAAAGAAACTGCTATGCTTTGGGTTTAAATTACCATCTCAATAGCCAAGTTTATCAGAAGACATATAGAATCTTACTATTTTATTATAGAAATTTAGTTCTACTTATTCCCACTTGAAAAAGTTAAGTTTTTCATTTAAAATTAATCACAATGTTATTTCTCTGTGCAGAAATCTCCCTAAGTATATAAAGCTTTTTTTTTTTTTCACTTTTAAACTGAGGTGATGTAGATAAATATTTTCCAGAATTTCAAATCCTAACAGATAACGATGTAAGTTAAGTTCCAGATACTGAGAACCTATGTTCTAAACTTACTATCCAATTTCAATGGATTAATAAATATTCTGTAACTTCACAGGTATCCTGGATACCTTGATAATCTGCCCTATTCTTGTACAGGAATAGGACCTGCAGGTATCTAAAAGAACATCAGACCCAACAGCAGCAACACTGGCATTATTTGGAAGACTGGCCTAATAGATGGGCTTTATAACAAATAATATATTTCTCTAACTCTTAACCACTGCTCTTTTCTGAGCAGCCTAAAATTATATAAAACATTGACTTGCTGTATAGAATTCAACATAATTTCCAAAAAAGATACTTTATAGATGAGTCCAAACTTTATTTAAAACTACATTTTAAATTCGTTACCAAACATCACAATGGGGAAAAAAATCAACACTAAAGAAGGAAAACAAACAAACAAACAAAAAAAACACACCACAGTGTGTCAAGGCTTAAATCTGTCCAGAGTTCAGTTTCTGATGTTTTAAACTACTATGGGGAGAAATGACCATACCTATCAAAAAAGCAGTGTCAAACTAATTTACATTTTTATACAGATCAGATGTTTATTTAGTATTGTTTTCATATATGCATTGACTATGTAAGGACAGAGTTAGATGAGCCTCTGAAGACATCTCATATACTCTGGGCTCCCACCGTTTCTGAAAAACAGAATAATAATGCTTTATAAATTACTTATCAAATTACTAGAATTTCACATTGTGCTCTGCCATTAAAGCTTTTACTTTTAATATGTGGTTATTATAAAAGAAATCCTAATTTAGCTTGCTAATACAATTCCCTAATAGCACACGGTAAAAAAAGAATAGGTGAGGTTTCTGATTCAATATGGCAGAGTGAGTACATCCTGTCTCTCTAAAAACACTGCACTAGGAATAGAAAAGAACTACAGAATAGAATAAATCTAGACCAACAAAGAAGACTGGTTGGGAGAAAACAGAACAGGGGATATCAACAAATTACCAGAATGCTCAATGCAGACGGAAGCATACCCAAAGAGAGTGGAGGAAGCTGCAGCTCAAACACTTGCAATAGGCTGTAGCTGAGAAGGGTACCATATTCTAACAGGTAGAAGTGGGCTGAAAACTCAGACATTAACTGAAGGTCTGATACCTGAAGGGTCTTTCCTTCTCCATTTCCAGGAAAAACAAAAACAACGAGATATCATGTGATTTTCATCAACTGATGAACTGATGGAGAACAACAAAAAGAAAAAACCCTTTGACCCTGATGCAAGAAACACTGAATGGCTCAAGAGCTGTGTTATTAGACTCATACAGAAAGAAATCTGAGGCTACTGAGACTATTGCTTGGCTCTACAATGAATGATATTTATATAGAAGCATCCTCAGAGAAAGTATAGAACCATTTAATTATATTACAAAAACAAAATATAAGTATATTTAATAGCCTTAGTAATGTAAGAATATGGGTAAAACTGAACAGAGAACCTGGAAGAAAGTAGAGGAGCAGCAGCAAGGGATAATGACCAAAGTTGATGGAACAAAATGCACATATACTTAACCAAACTAAAAAGTAAAAAATAGAACAACCAAAAATAATATGGCAAGATTTAAATAGATAACTCTTACCGGGTTCTTTTAGTGTCTGAGAATTTCCAGCTAATTCTTCAGTCTGCAGTTCACATATTTCACCAGATAAATGGTTTTTCTGTTCTTCTTCTACCATTTTCTTCCTTATATCTGCCTTTGGAATGAAAATTAAAAATACAAATCGTTTTTCATTTTAACAATATTTGTTATATAAAGACAAGTTTAATTAAAGACAGACAAATACCTCTGAATATATTGTCAGTTTCAGTGGTAAATCTTCAACTTTTACAAAATCTTCTTCATCAGACTTTTGACTTATATTACCAGACTCTGCTTCCTGTAATTTAATGGAAAAAAAAAAAAAATACGTACTCTAGATCCAAACCAAAGTCACCCATGTGAATAGTGAATTATTTTATCAGTAATTCTATCATATTTCGTTTTCTTCTACAAACAGCTCTATGAATAATTTGGAAATAAGGAGTTCATAGGAAAAGCTACATATCACAGCTGTGAAACATACTGTCAAGCTGTTACCATTTTGTCAAAAAAAACCACAAAAATGGTGGCAGGGAGGGGAGGGCAGTTTATACATGCCGAAGAAACAGTAGTTACAACCAGGACTAAAAACACTAGAAAGACAACTCTTGTTTCTTCATACGTTTACTGAACACATAAGAGCCATATCTGGCAGAATGTAAATAACCACTTACAAACTTTTCAATGTATCAACTCTGATGGCGCTCAGTTAGAAAGCTGATGTATGAATTCAGTAACTGTCTTTTGTGATGACCTCAAACTGTTTTTCCTAAACTTGAACTCTTTTTTTTCTCCTAGTTCTCCCTTCTCATTTTTAATAGTATCATAATTCTACCAATTATCCAAGTAGAAATCGTAGGTTTTTCTTCTTCTTGCAGTATTTTTCACTCATCATGCTCCTGTTCAGCTCATATTTCATACTTATACAATAGTAGATCCCCTAATCTAGCTTGACAATATATCCTATAGTCATCAGATTAATCTTCACAGTCCATAAATTTGACCATTTCACTTCTTTGCACAAAAATATTCAGTAGGATCCCTGACTAAAATTCAAAGTCAAGAGCTTTTATAACCTACCTCTGACTTAATTTCAATTAAATATCTTCTATGGCAACTCTACACAATGATCACATGAAAAGAATAAATCTAACCGGTAATTGAAATTTCAGAGTTTTAAATGTATAATTGTACTGGTAGTGAGGCAAACAAAAGAGTTAAAAGAGTTATTCTTTGTACTAATGTTTTCTAAAGATTATAAGGCCCCTAAAAATTATGAAGTCATAACTGTAAATGTATCTTCAAGAATTTTTTTTTTTTTTTTTAGACACAGGGCCTCACTCTTGGCCAGACTAGAATGCAGTGGGGGCAATCACAGTTCACCACAGCCTAGAACTCCTGGGCTCAAGTGATCCTCCCGCCTCAGCCTCCTGAGTAGCTAGGACCACAAGCAAGCACTATGATGCCTGGCTAATTTTTAATTTTTTGTAGAGACAGAGTCTTAGTATGTTTCCCAGGCTGGTCTCAAACTCCTTTTAGTTCTATCCAACAAAAGCATTGATTGGAAATCACCCAAGTTAAGTTTCACTTATGTTTGCAGTTTAAGGAAGATTAAGGCTGTTTTAAAGGCCTTTGTTTTATGGGGGTTTTGGTCAGGGATTTTTCAGGCCTGATCTCCATTTTAATTTTGCTTTAACAATTCCCCCCTTTTGGCTTGAGGGTGGCCAAATGGAGTAGCATTATCCTGTTACCACTACTGACGCAGATGCTGGGATGAAAAGTCAGGTAAAGTTGTTATCAAAAGGTATGTTGAGATTCAGTCATGCAGCCTCCATCAAGATTTACATAGTCAGTGTTAGTTTCCCTGATGGCAGTCATGTGACGTGTCAGTGGTTGCTGGAAAGCATTTAAACCCCTTGTGGGGATATAACGCACAAGGGAAGAAAACACAGTAACTGTAGCAAGAACTGAAAAATCTCTCTAAGCAAAGATTCCCAGGGGCCAAAATTTAACCAACCGAATAAATCAATGGAGGAGGCCTTGCTTATCTGATTAAAAAAATGATTTATTAAGATCTTTTAAATTTGGGGCAACAATATCTGATTAACATAAAAACAATACTTTTCACCAAAGCTCATCCCTGTGAGCAGCTAAACTTCTACTTGAGTTCCAGTGAGGCCAAATCACTCATCTCAGATTGTACTGCTTGAAGAGTATCGAAAGTATCATTAAAACTTTTTTTCAAGAGTTGCTGAAATATTCATAAGTGATTTTTCCAATTCAGAGGCTGCCAGCTAAAGAAAAAAGGATCTTAGGAAATAACAAAATCTAGAACTCCTTCATATATTTGAGTTTGGCAGATCACAAGGAGTTCTTTTTTAAGGGGTCACTTTATGTACACACAATCCCAGGTTAAGAATTTCACTACCATTTCATATCTGGTCAGTTTAGGTAGGAAACAGCCCAAACCACAGTGTCCAGATCATATAGGTGAAAACATTTACATATTTTGTTGCCATACAAGATGAATAACTCAGTATTACTGAGAGAAAGGGACAAAGGAGATCCTATTACCCACCAACTGGGAATGATGTGATTGTCATGGTTATTCTTTGTCATATCTGCATCTGCACATTGCCAGGTAGAATGGTTATGATTCTATTAGTGGAAGAGGAATAAAAAACACTTCTATGTATTACATATGGGTACCATCACCAAATAAGGATGACTTATTTCCTTTTCAAATACGCCCTCAATATTGATCTAAAAAACCCTATTGTACATAGTGAAACTATAGGGGTATTCCATTTGCCTCTAGAGTTTCCTTTGAACCAATGTCAGTTTCAGTCAGTTCTCTACTAATACAGTCAAGGGTATTATGGTGAAGTTCTGATTTTAAATATGTGTCATTATATAGGAAAGCTGTCTCCATAATTTGTGTTAAACCAAAATGTTTGACTGCAGATAGGGAGACTGGAACCCTGGCTAGATTAGGCCCAGTTCTATTAAGGTTTTCTGTCCATAGTGATAAAATTACCAGCAATAAAATCAATAGTAGTTACAGAACATACCTTTGCTTCTAATAACTTCTTCCTAGTGCCAAGTCAGTCAATCATAAATATCAACCAACCTGCCAGGGGAAGGATACCAAACCTCTTCATAAAACCAGTTTCCTGAACTGCTCACCCAAGTGTGTACGGCAATAGATTTCAGTATTAGTTGTGATTCCATTCATCTACATGACTACATGGCCAGCAACTGCTTTGGTTGAGAGTGGCTATGCTTTCAACATCAGACCTTAGAGGATATTCGGTTTGAGTAGGAAAAGTTCCTAACAAAAGTTTGAACATTATGTGTTAATGCAAAACCAAAACAAATCTTAATGAGAAAAGTTATATGTAGTCTTGTTCCACTGTGGTGGGAAGTTGTTTACTTCGTGATGCCACCTGCTCCTAGGGAAGGCTTTCCCTTAGATATCTTTAAGTTACCTATAGGTTGCCAAGTCCAAGAGTCTAAGGAAGCTCTCTCTACTTGAGAGACATGGACCCAAGGCTCAAAACCCTGAAGTTTTGCTGCATGGTGAGTAGTAAGAACCGTCTGGTACAGTCCTTTCCAATGAGGCTCAAGGGCTGTTGTTTCCAAAAGATCCAATCTCCACATTCTAAGTTATGGAAGCCAGTCATGGATCATCATTGGTACACAGTTCACAAAAAGCCTCCTTCAGCTGGTGGAAATAGACTTTTGCATAATCCATTAAGGTCTTGGAGTATTGAGTCATTTCAGAGCTAACAAATACAGGTGATACATGGGGTTCTACTACTAAAGGCATAGGTCTTCCAGTTATTTCATAAGGGGTCAAATTTGAGTTTTTCTGTAGGGGTTGATCTAATTGCCATTAGGGCCAGTGGTAACATTTTTGACCAAGGTAATCCAGTTGACAATTTTGCTCATTTTAGTTTCAAGATATCATTTGTCCATTCAAGCTTTCCAGAAGAAAGAGGATAAGGGCAATGGTAGTGCTACCGACTTTGAAAATCTTGTTTATTCGATAACCTGTTCGGGAAAATCAGTTCCCTTATCACTGGAGATCTCTCCAGAAATACCCCATAAAGGAAATACATTTCCTAAAAACCTTTTGCTACTGTTGTGGCATCAGCCTTTTAAGTCCCAATCTATCCTGAAAACAGGTACACTAACACAAGAATATACTGATATCTCATTGTGGGTGGCAAATGAATGAAATCCATCTGCAGACCTACAAATGGTCTAGCAGGTGGTAGAAATCTTAAGGGTCTTTCCAGCTTTATGAGTTTGACAAGTCACACTGTTATAAGCCATTTCTGCTTTCATCATCTTTTTCATAATCTGAACCATTTTTCTTCACCATGATAGTTGGTAGAGTGCAGGGCCTTTAATAATAATGGCAGTTTGAAGGACTCAGGAAGGACCACCTGGCTGTCTGGGCCTTCAGTAAGCTCTTATTGAGCATTAAATTTGCTTCCTTTAAGATTCCATTTTTGTTGTTTCAACTCAGGTGCACAGCATTGTTTACTGAACAAATTATCCTGAGTGATCTGATCTTGGTCAGTTCTGTGGAGTTCATTCAAAATGCACATTTTGTCAATGTCAGACTTGGCCATAAAAGTCCACACATGCATTTCCTTGATACTCAGATTGAGTCCTGTGAGCATGAGCATCATTTTTATTAGCTACTTGTTAGGGCAGCAGAATAGCTGAAAGCAGCTCATCTGGCAGAGGTCCAGTACTGATGGAGGTTCCACTACAAGGTAGAAACCCTCTTTGTTTCCACAACATTCCAAAATCATCACTCACTCCAAAGGCATACCAGTTATCTGTATAAATGAAGACTGATTTTGCGTTTTGCTATATGGTAAGGCTTAGATCACGTAATTCTTTGGGTTCTCCTGACTTAAGTTGAGGAAGAGTTCCCTTTTCTATTAGTTCATATTGAGTTGTTACAGCATGTCCTGCTCAGTATTTCTCCTCTACAGTTTTATCACAGGATCCAACAATAAAATGTATTTATTCAGAATCATCTAATGAAGTTTTCCATAAGTCAGTGTGAGGAGTCAATAGTTAGGACACCACACATACACACAGTTACGGTCTTCCTAATGTTCGGACAGAGGCAGCAAGTGGTAGGGTTAAGCAGATTCATGTCTGAGATAGAGATTAGAAGGTGACAGGAGAAAGATATCATAAAATGTTAGTCTACTTATTAAGACATGTTGGATCTGACTGGAATATAATAAGCTTTCAACTGCATGTGAAACCTGT